AGCACATCGGTTTCGCTAAAAACTTCGGTAGTCAGCGGGCATCGCAAAATGTCAAACAACAGTTAATGTTGATACTAGCAACATGCCAAAGGTTATAGATTTATTGAAATATATGGAATTAAAACGCATCGATAAAGTCCGTGCACTCCGCACACAACGCCCGAAGAAGACGGTGTACGTAAAGACACGTCGACAGCCAGCTGGCTGTCACGGCCACCCGCCCGCTCATATTTAGAAAATTTGGAGTTTCACAATATGCGACGTTATATGCGTAGTGGTACGGCGAAGAATTTTTACAAGGCGATTCCGTCCGTTCAAGCGGACGTTTCCACATCCGATTATTGTGCTTTTAAAGCAGGGTGATTCCGTCAGTTCAAGCGAGACTTCTGAGACTTCCGCGGTTATATTTCCCGAGTGCTGTCAAAATTCAAAATTAAATTTTACAAATATATTTCAATGTCCGTGCGAAGTGGTACTCCAAAAATAAAATTAATTATTTTAAAAAAGTCGTAGCGGGATTGGACCTAATAGTCGCCATCCGAGACTGGTTATATTTCCCGAGTACTGCCCCAATTCAAATTTAAATTTTACAAATATATTTCAATGTCCGTGCGTAGTGGTACTCCAAAAATAAAATTAATTATTTTAAGAAAAGTCGTAGCGGGATTGGACCTAATAGTCGCCATCCGAGACTGGTTATATTTCCCGAGTGCTGTCCCAATTCTAATTTTAAATTTTACAAATATATTTCAATGTCCGTGCGAAGTGGTACTCCAAAAATAAAATTAATTATTTTAAAAAAGTCGTAGCGGGATTGGACCTAATAGTCGCAATCCGAGACTGGTTATATTTCCCGAGTGCTGCCCCAATTCAAATTTAAATTTTACAAATATATTTCAATGTCTGTGCGTAGTGGTACGGCGACGCGGACTTGAAAAAAAATTACGACGGCCGGTGCGTCGGGCCACGCGGCTGCCAAGTGTCATGCCGAAAAAAACCCATGTCGCCGCGTAGTGGTACGGCGATACGGAATTTATAAAAATTCCCCGTGAGATAAATCTCACGGGGGAGCGGTCAGGTGGCCGAAGCGTAGACCAAACCAACAAGGTACGCACCATTGTAAGATTAAAGAATCGTCTCGCCAACAATGCGTTAACGTTTATACGAAATACAATTTCCACGTCCATGCACTCTGTACACTCCGCCCGAGCACATCGGTTTACGCTAAAAACTTCGGTAGTCAGCGGGCATAGCAAAATGTCAATCAACAGTTAATGTTGATACTAGCAACATGCCAAAGGTTATAGATTTATTGAAATATATGGAATTAAATACGCATAGATTACGTTCGTGCACTCTGTACATTCCGCCCGAGCACATCGGTTTCGCTAAAAACTTCGGTAGTCAGCGGGCATCGCAAAATGTCAAACAACAGTTAATGTTGATACTAGCTACATGCCAAAGGTTATAGATTTATTGAAATATATGGAATTAAAACGCATCGATAAAGTCCGTGCACTCCGCACACAACGCCCGAAGAAGACGGTGTACGTAAAGACACGTCGACAGCCAGCCGGCTGTCACGGCCACCCGCCCGCTCATATTTAGAAAATTTGGAGTTTCACAATATGCGAAGTTATATGCGTAGTGGTACGGCGAAGAATTTTTACAAGGCGATTCCGTCCGTTCAAGCGGACGTTTCCACATCCGATTATTGTGCTTTTAAAGCAGGGTGATTCCGTCAGTTCAAGCGAGACTTCTGAGACTTCCGCGGTTATATTTCCCGAGTGCTGTCAAAATTCAAAATTAAATTTTACAAATATATTTCAATGTCCGTGCGAAGTGGTACTCCAAAAATAAAATTAATTATTTTAAAAAAGTCGTAGCGGGATTGGACCTAATAGTCGCAATCCGAGACTGGTTATATTTCCCGAGTGCTGCCCCAATTCAAATTTAAATTTTACAAATATATTTCAATGTCTGTGCGTAGTGGTACGGCGACGCGGACTTGAAAAAAAATTACGACGGCCGGTGCGTCGGGCCACGCGGCTGCCAAGTGTCATGCCGAAAAAAACCCATGTCGCCGCGTAGTGGTACGGCGATACGGAATTTATAAAAATTCCCCGTGAGATAAATCTCACGGGGGAGCGGTCAGGTGGCCGAAGCGTAGACCAAACCAACAAGGTACGCACCATTGTAAGATTAAAGAATCGTCTCGCCAACAATGCGTTAACGTTTATACGAAATACAATTTCCACGTCCATGCACTCTGTACACTCCGCCCGAGCACATCGGTTTACGCTAAAAACTTCGGTAGTCAGCGGGCATAGCAAAATGTCAATCAACAGTTAATGTTGATACTAGCAACATGCCAAAGGTTATAGATTTATTGAAATATATGGAATTAAATACGCATAGATTACGTTCGTGCACTCTGTACATTCCGCCCGAGCACATCGGTTTCGCTAAAAACTTCGGTAGTCAGCGGGCATCGCAAAATGTCAAACAACAGTTAATGTTGATACTAGCTACATGCCAAAGGTTATAGATTTATTGAAATATATGGAATTAAAACGCATCGATAAAGTCCGTGCACTCCGCACACAACGCCCGAAGAAGACGGTGTACGTAAAGACACGTCGACAGCCAGCCGGCTGTCACGGCCACCCGCCCGCTCATATTTAGAAAATTTGGAGTTTCACAATATGCGAAGTTATATGCGTAGTGGTACGGCGAAGAATTTTTACAAGGCGATTCCGTCCGTTCAAGCGGACGTTTCCACATCCGATTATTGTGCTTTTAAAGCAGGGTGATTCCGTCAGTTCAAGCGAGACTTCTGAGACTTCCGCGGTTATATTTCCCGAGTGCTGTCAAAATTCAAAATTAAATTTTACAAATATATTTCAATGTCCGTGCGAAGTGGTACTCCAAAAATAAAATTAATTATTTTAAAAAAGTCGTAGCGGGATTGGACCTAATAGTCGCAATCCGAGACTGGTTATATTTCCCGAGTGCTGCCCCAATTCAAATTTAAATTTTACAAATATATTTCAATGTCTGTGCGTAGTGGTACGGCGACGCGGACTTGAAAAAAAATTACGACGGCCGGTGCGTCGGGCCACGCGGCTGCCAAGTGTCATGCCGAAAAAAACCCATGTCGCCGCGTAGTGGTACGGCGATACGGAATTTATAAAAATTCCCCGTGAGATAAATCTCACGGGGGAGCGGTCAGGTGGCCGAAGCGTAGACCAAACCAACAAGGTACGCACCATTGTAAGATTAAAGAATCGTCTCGCCAACAATGCGTTAACGTTTATACGAAATACAATTTCCACGTCCATGCACTCTGTACACTCCGCCCGAGCACATCGGTTTACGCTAAAAACTTCGGTAGTCAGCGGGCATAGCAAAATGTCAATCAACAGTTAATGTTGATACTAGCAACATGCCAAAGGTTATAGATTTATTGAAATATATGGAATTAAATACGCATAGATTACGTTCGTGCACTCTGTACATTCCGCCCGAGCACATCGGTTTCGCTAAAAACTTCGGTAGTCAGCGGGCATCGCAAAATGTCAAACAACAGTTAATGTTGATACTAGCTACATGCCAAAGGTTATAGATTTATTGAAATATATGGAATTAAAACGCATCGATAAAGTCCGTGCACTCCGCACACAACGCCCGAAGAAGACGGTGTACGTAAAGACACGTCGACAGCCAGCCGGCTGTCACGGCCACCCGCCCGCTCATATTTAGAAAATTTGGAGTTTCACAATATGCGAAGTTATATGCGTAGTGGTACGGCGAAGAATTTTTACAAGGCGATTCCGTCCGTTCAAGCGGACGTTTCCACATCCGATTATTGTGCTTTTAAAGCAGGGTGATTCCGTCAGTTCAAGCGAGACTTCTGAGACTTCCGCGGTTATATTTCCCGAGTGCTGTCAAAATTCAAAATTAAATTTTACAAATATATTTCAATGTCCGTGCGAAGTGGTACTCCAAAAATAAAATTAATTATTTTAAAAAAGTCGTAGCGGGATTGGACCTAATAGTCGCCATCAAATATTAAATAAACTGAACAAAGTTTGAGTAATATAGAGTTGATACATTTAACGGGCAACGAAGTGTAAATAATAATGTACCTCAGATCATTCAATTCACTGGAACATCGCTTTTTTGGAGTATCACTAATACTATTTGTTGATACAATTGGGATTTCTGACTGGCGTCAGAGTTTCTTGCGAAGTTGACTCAAAAACTACAATTTTGAATTATAGCAAAATTATTTAAAAATAAGACTGAAATGTTAAGATTTAACTGTAAACTATTATTTATTATTTACAAAATATAAATGGTAGATACCTGTATTTGTGGATTCTAATAATTCTGGCTGTTTACAATTTATATTCACTGGAATTGCAATACTTTTTAAGTAACCACTTGGTAAAAAGTCTTCATTAGAAAAATGAGCCTCACAAACTCTATATGAAGGTAGATATAGGTCAATTCCACAGGCTTTTAACCACAACTTCTTGCGACCTTCATCCTTAGGAAAGCCGAAATAAAATTAATAAAAAATAAAACTATTTAGGTATATTTAGTTGTAACAGTTGAGCTGTAATTCTTTAAGGGCCATTTTATCAATCATCAGTTAAATAGTCGTTTAACTAATCTCTAGTTTAGATTAACTGAAGATTAAAAAAATGTTAATTTTATCAATCAAATTTAATCCGAGGTTAAGTAAACTGCGTTTTATAAACCGAAGATTAATTTACTACCAATTGAAGTTAGTAGCACGTTAATATATACATGTTCTTATCTTCATATCGGTATATTGTTTTTTGTTATTATTTTAATCTGTAGTGTATTCGTATTTTTATCTATATTATAAAATGTAATTTATATTTTATATTATAATACTTATATTAACTTATACTATTCATGTAAATTACCATTTAATTAATTCAGTTTAAAATAATTTTTATATTGTCATAATGAATTCTAAAGTGAAGCGAGAACGCTCCACAAATTGCATTGCCAGTGAGTTAGAACTTCTTGTCGACCTAGTGGTTAGGCACAACAAAATACTAGAAAATAAGAAAACAGACGCTGTAACTGCAAATGTGAAAAGCAAAACATGGGATATACTGGCTAAGGCATTCAATAGTAATAGCCTTAATGGATTCCGAAGTGAAAAGAGTTTGAAGTCGAAATATGAACATCTAAAAAAGGGTGCCGCTAGTTGTGTAATCACTGTCCACATTATAAGAGCGTTAAAATAGTGATTTAATAAAAATATATTCTTAATCTAACAATATTATAAAATAATTTGTAACCATAATATTTTTTTTATTTTTAGTGATTAATCATTTTATTTTATTTAATTCTAAAAATTCTAATTCATTTTTAATTCTAATTCTAAATTAATTTTAATTTATGTTCTTAGCATAATTTAAATTCACTATCTGGATCTGATTTATCTGACACCTGATTATCTAAAATATATTCATAGGTACCTACTCAATTGCGCCTAGTGTATAATCGTCCCATTTATTTAAATGATCTATTCTTATTGACAATAAATATGGTCTTCGGGGTTTGTTGAAACATCGGTTCACATAACTCAAAAACTCAATTTCTTCATCAGTACTACTGTCACTACTACTGCTGCTGCATAAATAAGTCATCTTATAAGTTATAAGATTCTTTTAAATTAGTTAAAAAACGAATAAAAAAAATCTTTGAAATCAAAAATAAATTCGAACAACATGTAATCAGTAATCATATACCAAAATAAATGAGATTATTGATAATATTTCAGCTAAACTCTAGTTAAACTCTTTAACTGGCCAAATATCTCGGATTAATTAATTTGCAGTTAAACTCCGGTTAAAATATTAATCAAGTAATGATAAAATCACATTTTTAGTTTAACTGGGGATTAATCTTAACTGGAGATTAAATTCTCTTAACTGAAGATTGATAAAATGGCCCTAAATATTGGTAGCTAATAAAGAAAAAAAAGTATTAAAACATATATTTAAAAAAAAATATTTTTATAGAACAAACTACCTACGAAGGTTTACATGAAAAATATAAGGAAACTATTATGTTAAAATATGATTATTTTACTTACGAATAAAATGATTGGTCACTATTTTTATCATACACATTGCAAATGACACACTTCCTAGGCATCTTACTTCTTAGTACAAACTTGAAAGTTGAAACTAAGTTAAACAATAAAAATAACGAAAATCGGCAAAACTCAAGAAAAACACTTGATGAAACAGTTGAAAATTTCAAATCAGAACCAGAATATTGTGATAGTACGCGGTGTGTTGATAACTGATCAGTCGTAGGTGCATGTGTGCAACTGCGCAAGTAGAAATAAAAATTATTGTACAATCTGGTAGGTCTTGTGCTCATGTGCGGTGTACGGTGTACTAGGTTGATCAGCGCCATCACGCTTGGACACCGGAACTACTACCACGTACCGTCTATTAGTATAAGGTCTATGATTTTATATTATATTTTTATCATTTATGAATGATAAAACTAATTCAATTTACAGTACAGCCAATATAATTTTAGATATCGCACTAATAATTATTAGTTTAAAAAACAAAAGATTAGACAATGTGCGATTAGTTTAAGAATATTAGATAGAAAAAAAATGAAATTCAAAAATACAAATTTTAGTTAGTGCACTAAAATCATCGTCTAATTGATTAGTGTCTAAAGTATTCGCCAATGACTAGTGCGAACTCAAAAATAGACCCCCAGGATATATATAAAAACAAAAATATACACTATTGTAAAACCAATAGCTTCATCGCTCCGTTCAGAATCTAAAAGTATTTCAAAATAATTTAAATACATGCCAAGTATTTGTATTAGTTCTTCAACACTTTTTCTTAAAAGTATTTGAAATATACTTGAAATACTTTCTGAATGAATATATTTGTTGCTGTATTTGATACCAGTGGCGTATATAGGGGGGGGGGGGCTAGGCCCGGGCCCATAGTGAAATTTCAGATTCAATTGAAACATTTTATGCATATTGCTAAATTATATAATTATATATTTATGTGATACCATGGCCCTTACCTACTATTATCGTTGTTGGTCTATGCTAGTATCATGAACCAAGCACGTATCCAGGATCAATTTTCGTGGGGGGGGGGGTTTGAACCCCCCCTGTATACGGGCCTGTCATGAACTAAGATAATATATTATCTTAGTTCATGGCTAGTATGTTGTATTTGAGGTATAAAATTCACGTTACTGACTGATACTATGATCCATGATTGCAATGACCAATAAAAATGTGTATTTACAGTTTACATGGCACGTAGATAGCGTGTTCTATTTTTAGAAATGGATTTCTGTTTACTATTGTATTTATATACATTATTGTAATGTTATCAATTTATCACGGGTTTCTAGGAATTGTTTCGTCGATTGTCGATTGTCTTACACGTCTTTTACCGTTGTAATTTTTCATAAAAATTAAAAACTGTTTGTCTGTATTGTTGATTTGAAGATGAGTTACAAAGAAAAATTGAAAACCTTTTTGTTTGTTCCTCGTCAATTAAGTGAAATAAGTACCTGTTAAATGTTATTATCATGGCTAAATACTTAGGTATGACGGCAACTCTGTGATACGCATGTTATGACGTCAGCCGGCAGGAACTGTTATCACTACTTATTATCACTTATCAGTACAATAATAGTAGTTTTATAAAAAAAATACTACTACTATAACAAATTTACAAATTTGAAATATTGTATTGCTGTCATTGTTATATTATGTTAGTTTATTTCAAACTTTAAAATTATCTTTTACATTTTAAGTTAAGACAAATTTGTATACTGTTAGATCTATTTTTGCTGTTGTTATTCCAATTACCTATGATATAAACTTTCTAACTTTATTTCTTTTAGTTTGAATTATTTTATCCATCATCAATTATTTAAATTATTGATTCTTATGAATGTTCTTGTTCTCACCAAACACAAAACAACTTCATAAGGAATATTGGTTTTTTTTTTGCTCAAGATAATGTTGCATAACCAATTTAGCAACTTCACTCATTACTCCTGAAATAATTTTATTAAAGCAGGTAATAATTTAACTTTTTTGCACCTTTTTCCCAATATACATACCTACCTGGTAACTTATTTAAACTTGTTTGACCCTGATATTTATTAAAAATGTTTTCTAATACTTTGGCAGTTTTCATCAAGGCATTTGAAGGATGAATTAAATTCCCTTTTGAAATGCATTCTATCCAACTATTACTGGTTGATGGTATATTTTCTGGTTGACCAAAGTGATGATGCTTATGTATACATTTTCTTGCCACAGATCCTGCCACATAATATAAACAATCTTCTTCCATCTTTGATAAATTGTTTTGATCATTTTCAAACAACTGAAATAATTATTAAACAGTTATAAATAAGACGTTTAAAAAAATTAATTATTCATTTTAAACCATTTCTTCTTCAAACGGGCTTAATAAATGAAGACTAAATTCGGTTGCTTCAATATTAAATACTCCACCAAACTCAGTCTCAATATTGGATAAATGATCATCCACCATACAGTCCATATTTGGTATGCATTTTGGATAAATATTTGCTTTTTTCAATGTTGATGAAGAAATACATTCAACCAAACAATTTTTATCAGTGTCTTCGGTATGATGATTAATTGTAAAAATCATATTAGAATGTTTTCCCATTAAATACCAACGTAAGCTACAAAAAAAATATGGTACAAATAATTGTTTAATTATAGATGCTATAATACAGGGGTCTCCAACCTTTTTTTACTACGGCGGGCAAAATTTGATATACGCTTTGGCATCGCGGGCCAACATTTTTAGAAATGTGTTGTCTAAAAAAAAAAAAAAAAATTGTTGTCTATCTAGGAATCTAGGATAGGTTATGAAATTGAGAAATAAATAAGAATATATGAGATTTATTTAAAAAGATGTATGTTTATTTATATAATTCAAAATTTGTTTTATTATGATACGAGTAAGTTACTTAGTGAGACGTTTGGAACTGCTTGTTTTTTAAAATGTCTTGATAGTTTGCATCAAACTTCGTGGTTCCAATTAGCAGAGTAGCTTGTAAGTGTTCGTCACTTAAGTTAGTTCTGTACTTAGATTTGACGTATTTCATTTTTGAAAACGTCTGCTCACATAAGTATGTTGAGCTAAATATTGACATCATTTCACGCGCATGTTTTTTGAGATTTGGAAATGATTCCTCTGGCAACATGGCGTAAAATTGTTGGAGACTGGATTCCTTGAAATAGTCTTTAAAATTGTTATTTGATATGAGCTCGATAACTTCAAGCTGGAGGTCTGTCGGTAAAGTTTCTATTTTTATGGCAAACGGATTTTCAAAAATTCGAATACGGTCTTCTGCACTTTCAAAATCTCTAAACCGCGTCTGGCACTGCTCATTCAAGTAGGTGAGAACTCCAACAGCAAAATCGGTAGGGAATTCTTCATTATTTTCAAGTTTGAATTTGTTGCATGTTGGAAAATGGGCAAGATTTTTTTCTATTAATTGATTCGTAAATAGAGTTAATTTTAATTTTAACGCTTTGATGTAGGAATATGTATCTGAAATTAACGAGTTTGCTTCTTGCAGTTTTAAATTCAACTCATTTAGGAGCTGAGTTATATCAACGAGAAAAGCTAGTTTCTATAGCCATGACAAATCAGCTAACTCAGTTACAACGCGGTTTTTTTCTGTCATAAATATGTCGATTTCTGAACGAAGATAAAAAAATCTTTTCAAGACGTAACCTCGGCTGAGCCAACGAACTTCACAATGATATCTGGGTACTCGCTTTCAATTTCAGCAAGAAAGTTCTTAAACTGACGGTGACTGAGAGCACTTCTTCGAATATAATTTACATTCTGCACAACAATATTCATAACTTCAGATATTGGTGCATTTTTCCCACACGAAGCTTGCTGGTGTATAATGCAGTGAATAGCCATTGGTGTTGCAGTACCAGTCTCCAATACAGCTTTAGTAACATTTCCAACCAAACCTGTATGTGCTCCACACATATTGCGTCCACCGTCAGTAGTTACGCCTTTTAAAATGTTAAAATCAAGACCCAAAGCAAAAATAGATTCTTTTACCTTCAAAAAAATTTCATTACCAGTACATGAATCTTTCATTGAGCGGACGGCGGCCAATTCTTCGGTTATTTCAAAAGATTCATTGACGAATAAAAGCACCTGCGCTCAGTCTGAAGTGTCAGTAGATTCATCCAAAGCAATTGAAAAATATTTAAAGCTTTTAGCAGTATCTTTTAATTGACGAATAATATCATTTCCGAGATCTGTGGTACGTCGCGCAATTGTATTCGCTGACAAGCTAATACCGGTGAATAAATTGATTTTATCGGGACAAATCTCTTCAACTGTCTTCAGCATGCACTCCTTTACAATTTGGCCATCAGTAAAAGGTTTTCCGGCTATCGCCAGAGTACGAGCTACTTGAAAACTTGCTTTTACGAGAGATTCATTTTGACATGACCGTTTTGTAAAAATTGACTGTTGAGCTAGTAAATTCTGTTTTAATATTTCAAACTTGTCTGATCGTAGTTTACCAGATAGCTCGTTATATGTAGATGCGTGCTTACTTTTATAATGGCTACCAATATTGTATTCTTTCATAACAGCAATCTTTTCCTTGCAAATAACGCATAAAGCAACATTGTTTTGTTCAATGAAGAAATAGTCATTATTCCACTTTTTGTTAAAAACACGGCACTCTGTATCGACTTTCAGTTTTTTACTTAAGCTCATATTTATTTTAATACAGCACAGAGCACTACACTCGATAAGAAACAACACTAAACTGTAATAATTATAAAAACTGATTCTATATTATATACTCGATACATTACAGTAGACTCGCGCAGTTAGAAAAACCCGTCGATTACACGTTCGATAGCGTTATTATTACAACAGAAAAAGTTGATCGTATCTTATCTGACCATCATCGCGTAAGTTTCGAGTACAATATAAGTCAGATAAGTGTGATTGACGAGTTTATCTATTATTAGTTAGTATTAGTGTAAATGTATAACTATTATAAGTTGTTATGAATAATACCTACCAAAAGAAAATAAATAAATTAAAAACAATGAAAAATAATATATTATTTTCAAAACATTAATTAGCTTGGCGGGCGGACCCGGACATTTTGGCGTGGCCATCTTGGCGTGGCCATTTTGGCGTGGCCACTTTGGCGTAAACCATTCTGGCGTATGACTATTTTGGCGTAAAACTATTTTGGCGTAAGACTATTTTGGCGTTAGATTTTGGCGTAATAAAATATTTAATATTATATTACTATATTTACTATGTAAACTACAAAAGCAGACTGATATATCTGTCGTCTGTGCGTGTATGTTGCGGGTAATCAGTTACCAGTAATCAGTTGTCATACAATTTAATATTTACTAATCAGTTGTAATCGACAATGGCTCAAATAAAGATCATTCGCGGTCGAGAAATATACACCCACGATGGATATATGTACACATTTGACGCATATAATTTTAATAAAACAAAAAAATTTTGGAGATGCCGATACAAAAATGATTGTCCTTGTCGTATTCATACGTCAACTGAAACGTCCAAGGTAAAAATATTTTTGCTATTCAATAAAAATATATACTACTTAGTGTTTGAAAATTTCATGAAATTTAAAAAAATGAAATATTTCGTGAAATATTTCAGTATTTTAATATATTTTGTTTTATTTTTAAATAATTTTTATATTTACATATAATTGTCATAAATTACCTTCATCACTATATGGTACCTGTATGTATACCTAACCTTTGGTATTATACATTTAAATTGGTATTCAAAATGTTTAAATATTTTAATGTTTAAATGATACAAGTAGGTATACAATATTACAATATTATACATGTATATTGTATACTTACTGAATTCTGACATTAGAATTTAGAACACTGAACATTGTATTAAAAAAATAAATAAATTGTGTTTTTATTTGTGTTAAAAAAAAATTCAATGTTTCACGTTTTTGTGAAATATTTCACAACTTAGTGAAATATTTCTCGTACTTCAAACACTAATACTACTCAAAACTAAAACTTTCAAAGTCAATTACATTTTATTTATATAAATTTATATTTATATTTTTTATTTATATGAACTAACCTAGCCTAAAGTAAATAACTTTTTTATTACCTAATACATTTATATCAATTGATTTTTTACTCAACCTACTCTATTAATTATTATACATGATTATTATATTATTATTTATTATTTATTATATTACTCGTATAGGTACTAATCATATTAGTCCAAAACGCCAAAATAGTCTTACGCCGAAATAACTATACGCCAAAATTGCCATACGCCAAATTGGTTTACGCCAAAGTGGCCACGCCAAAATGGCCACGCCAAGATGGCCACGCCAAGATGTCCTAGATCGCTTGGCGGGCCGGTGCAAAAAGCTTGGTGGGCCGGATCCGGCCCGCGGGCCTGACGCGGACTTCTGTTGTGCCGCGTGGTGTGGTGATGTGGTGGTGGTGACCGACGGAGACAGTCGGGTCGAAACAACAAACGGGATAATAAAGAAAAAATTAGTAAAACAAAAAGAACAAACTGAGGTGTAACTTAAGTCTTTATTGTTAAAAACAAAAGAGATTATTCAATACATATATTGGGAACCGGTAGCGAAATACATGGAACGTGTGTGTTGGTTCGGGTGTGTACCGGTCGGTGTCAAGGAGACGAGAGAGCGCGTCTTGACAATCCGGTATTCCGGTTCGCCGGACGGCCGGCCGACGGTTCCAGGCGCGCGTGTCGCGCGCCGGCGTCGTCCGTCGTCGATTGGCGGTTTGATTGAGAAGCCACGGCGCGGCTTCCGCGCAAAGGCTGTTTGCATTCAAACAGATTTGGCGCGGGACCGCGTCAGGCCGTAGGTTGGAGACCCCTGCTATAATAGATATTAACCAATATTTAAATTCTATAGGTGACATATGAGTATTGGATCCAACCATTCCTTTTAGATAACTAAAGAAATTCTCCAAAACATCAGAATTTACTCTACGAGTCATAATATAATCTATACCTTCATATTCTTCTTGCAAATCAATCAAAAGATTTCTAAATTGAATTATTTGATACTAATATGCCTAAGAAATATAAAATACATAATTAATTTCTTTATATTATGTGCTCATATGTAAAAAATACCTGTTTGAAAAGGTAATCTCCCTCTACTGTTACACACTTTCATATTTCCAATAAGAGTATCAACTTTATCTAATAAAATATTTTGTTCATCCAAATTCAAACCATAATTGTCGGTAAAGTTATCCCTTGGAAGCTGGGTATTCATGAGATCAAACCAATCGTTTAAAAGTTTTATAACTTCAGACGCCTATTATTATAATGTATAATATTGTACATCAAGATACATTTTATAATTAAATCTGTTTTATATGTAGGTAATAGGTATATTATAATTATACTTACTTCTTTCCAATTAGGATGTGTTATAATTTTATTTTTTCCACAGTACATTAGGGCATGCGCCAATCGATTAGAGAACAGTTGTGCAGCCAACTTCACGTTCTGTCTCAGTGTACCAAAACATTCAGATGTCTTTCAGACAACTTGTAGGCAAGTTTGAAATCAGAACTCGTTGTGGCTTCAAATAGTCTTCAATAATCTCTCTTCCAATATGGACGTTAAATGGTAGTAAAAACCCTTTATCTATGAAGTGGTTCCTCGCCAACTTCAATAGATGTGGAACATCAGCGAAGACATGAACTCTCTTATGGGTAACTGGGTTTATGAAAGCTGATGAACTGGGTTGAATACCTAGTTATTTCCTTAAACCAATGTTTGTTGGTCCCATGTCACTGACAATTCCAACAACTTCAAACCCTACTTTATGAATTTCAGATATTATATCAAATAATATGTTTTTAGTCATACGAGTGTCAAAATCATAAAAAATGGGTTGTTTCCATTGATGTATAAGCCCTTAATGTTAAAAAGTGAATATAAATATTTTTTATTATATATTACAATTTGCATGTAACTACTAAAGTAGTAACCTCTTGCCATTACTGTTTGTACAGATCTATGTGGCCCAATTATTTGACGTACGTTTCTCCAGCCCCCCCCATATCGAATTTCAAAATTTTTTTTGGTTAAATATTTAGCGTGCAATTAGCGTGAATTGGCGTGACTGGTTTTGGAATTTGCTTGGCACTAGGTCAAGTTTAAAAATGTAAACAAACGTTTTACAGAAACGTTTCTACAGCCCCTCCTCATCCGAATTTTGAATTTTAAGGACTTTTTTATGTCTCAATATTTAGCGTGTAATTGGCGTGAATTTGCGTGACCTATTTCGAAACTCTGCATTCAAAACACCAAGTACCACGGGCGTTACCATTTTTTAGACATTTCTCCAGCCCCCCCCCCCCCAAAAGACAAATAAATTTTTTTTCGTATTTTTTTCAACGCCAACATTTAGCGTGCAATTGGCGTGAATTTGCGTGACCTATTTCGAAACCGTAAACCCAAAGCCCCAAGTACTGTGTGCTTTACCCCTTTATTGCCATTTCCCCAGCCCCACTCAAACAGCAAATACATTTTTTTTCGAATTTTTTTCAACGCCAATATTTAGCGTGTAATTGGCGTGAATTTGCGTGACCTATTTCGAAACCGTAAACCCAAAGCCCCAAGTACTGTGGGCTTTACCCCTTTATTGCCATTTCCCCAGCCCCCCTCAAACAGCAAATAAATTTTTTTTCGAATTTTTTTCAACGCCAATATTTAGCGTGTAATTGGCGTGAATTTGCGTGACCTATTTCGAAACCGTAAACCCAAAGCCCCAAGTACTGTGGGCTTTACCCCTTTATTGCCATTTCCCCAGCCCCCCCCCCCAAACAGCAAATAAATTTTTTTTCTATTCATACACTCTACAGTCTACATTTAATTGTATATAATGCTACCTATATTAATATATTTATTTACATATAGCTATTTATTTACGTATAGCATATAGCTTAAGTATATAGCTATATACATATTATTTATGACTAAATGAGTGTAATAATATATATAAAATAAATATATTTATTATATAAAACTATATTTTATATAATAATTTATTATGTATTATATTTAATACATACATTTCTGCATAATGCATGTATCTATATTAGGGTGGCCCTTATATAGTAGGGGGGTAAGGAAAGTTAAATATTTTTGATTTCTCACCCTCCCAATTTTTTCATTACCATACAAAAGTTATGTGGGTAAGATTTTGGGATGATTAATAATCCCCTTCAGGTGCCGCAAGAGGGTTGAATATTCATCAAATAGGGTAGTTTTAGGGTTATTCTGATTTAATTCATTATATATTGCATTTAGCATAACATTTTATAGAACCTAAATTGTAGATTCAGGTACTCTCTATAAAAAACGTTCCGACAAAATTTCTCGTAAATCTATTAATTTCTGTGGAAAAATTAATCTTAAAAAAAAAAAAAAACATTTATTTACACAAGTACATAAATATTGGTGTCATTAAAAATAAATAGAAAGTGGTTCAATGGAGTAATACAATGTGAAAATTAGATACGTTACATTCAAATAAAATATTTATTAATTACGAACGAATTAATTTATTTTTTTTACAGTCAGGGTAATTTGTTCTATAATCATTTACAACTTGTAATAGAAATTGTTTTTGATTTTCATCTTTCGTCAGTATACTATTGTATTCTTGAATTAACTTA